TGTCAATTAATAGCACAAAATTACAAAATATTCGAGAAAAATATTTTCCGAATTTTCACCCTTGACCATGCGCTTGTGGTTGCTTTTACAAAGAAGCTGCCACATAGCCAGAGTTTAAATTGTTCTGTAGCCCGGCTCCGGTACTTCTTAGTTTTGGGGATAAATCCTAATTCTAGCTGGAGTGCACAGGAGCCCTAAATAAGAAAGCTTCGGCACTTCTTTTATGTAACTGAACAATTTCAGTAGAAATTCGATCTCAAAAATTTTATTTTTTGCAATAAAATTATATTACAAATCGCATGTTAAATTTTATCTCTTTACATTTTCTTAATTTTAATTTAATTATTTAACCTTTATAATTTAACTGTTTTAATAATAATAATAAATTTTATTTAATTATATAATAATTATTGATTAACTAATAATTGACAAATATTAGTTATTAATTAATTTGGTAATAATTAACTATTAATTTTAAAATTATTAATGATTTTAGTAGTCATTTTATTTATTTATACTTTTGTTCCTCTGTGCTGATGGTTTTCCATAGGGCTCCGGCACTTCTAATTTTAGAAATTAAGCCCTGCACATAGCACAAAAACCCCAGTTTTTTTTTAAAAAAAGTCTTATGGCTTACTGTTGGCACATTCCATGATGTGGGGGAAGGCTTGAGAGGAATAGAAATGACATTGAGACCTCACAGCTGTGATGTGCGAAAAATGTGCATTAAAAATCGAATGACTTCTTTCAAACATTGAAGTTTTCTGTTTTTGTCAATCATCAGTGCTCTCTTAATTGTTTAGTTGATATAGCACTTTAATAAAACCATAATATATTCCATCAGTTTTATAACCAGCCACTGTTTCTCTTCTATGTGTGTTTTGGTAATGTTCTCTAACATATTTTAGTTTTGACTGTATTATAGATTTCTTGTGGCTTGTATTCATTTAGCTGTCCAGTAAAATAAACCGGCTGCATTATATTGGTTATATTAGCCACATCCTTCTCATTGGACAGTTTCTGATGGATAATGTTGTATTTCTCTGTCAGTTGATAAAAAATTCTTTCCTTTCATGTAAGGAATTAATAAACAAAAGCTCTAGAAATAGGAACACCTTTTGGTTTAAACCATTCTAGGAAAGCAGATTTCAACAATTGTCTTTTTTTTTTTTTTTTTTTCTTTTCTGGGTTAGTTGCTCTTTTTATTACTTTTTCATTGGTTATAATTCTGTTAAGTAGATTGTACCATGCTGTTTGGGAAATTCCTAGTTTAATTGTAATTTTTCTTTGGTTGCACCTATGAAGAACATTGAAATCGTTTACCAATTTTCCCTTTTCTCTCTACTTTAAGGTGGTCTCTGGTTTACTTTTTGGTTCCTTTCTCTCTTGGCATTTTTGACATATTGCAATTTTTTTAAAAAAACACGACAATTTTTGCTTCATTAATGCTTAATTTATTCAAATTTCAAAAATTACATTTCTAGCCACAGAAAGATCATCATTCGTCTATTTTGTCCATCTGCCCTTCATGATTATAAGCATGATCAGGGCTTTCTTTGCTTTTCATTCAGCCTACAATCCATTAAAAGACTTGGTGTACAGAAATACTAAGAACCATTTCATGAGCTTTTTTGTAGCTCTGTAAACATTACGAATTTATCTCAAATGGAGATTTTGAGAATGGAAACCTTAAAAGATGGATACATTGCACTTCCACCTCCTATCAGTTTATATTCTAGAAAGATCTTGCACTCATTTCAGTAATTTTAGATGATTGCTTTTGTTAACTTTAAGGTAAGGAAATTTGTCCCTTTGTCCAATGCGAGCATAGAACTCTGAAATCAGTGTTTTGCAGTAGGGGGACCCGGTCATAAGAAATTTTTGGTTAAACCCGATGTGTTGGAACACTGCATACCTGAACAATAAAGCCATAATACCTTAAATGGATGAATTATGAAAGCTTTCATAGATACAAGTAGGATATTTTGGCATTAAAGAATGACTGTTTTGTCAATCTGAGTTTTATAAGTGACACAGATGAGTTGATAAAAAAAATTATGTTGATTAATATGTATTTGTTTGGTTCCTGGAAATTTAAGTGTAATAAGTGGCTGAGTTTATTAACCAATAAGTTTAATAAGCAGCACATACTAATAGTAAAATTTAGGTAATATGCTTTTAGTACAACATTGATATAAATCATTTGTCACCAAAATCCATTTCATAGGCCGAATGTCACTATGTTATTGCAGTCTTACAACTCTTAAAAGAAGGATAAAATTCCGTATAAAAAAAAAAAGATATTTACTTTATTTTTTCCCTCTAGTATGATACTGATGCATGTCTAGTATGATCATGTAGTACCAATGCTGAAATTTCACGCTTTGGTCTCTTGTCAAATATTTATCTGTGTAAAACTATGTTTTCATAAACTATTAAACTGTGTGAATGTTTTAAATAAAAAGATAGCTGTCAATTGTAGTTTGGTTAGCAAATATTACTAATTCTTAATCTCACTATTATTAAGAATTAGTGTGTTCTTACAACACAGCGAGTGTGCTTTCTATCAAAATTCAGAATAGAATTATGCAGATAGCTTACATGATATCTTAAAATTATGGACATCTTAAAACATCTTGACTTTATAAATGCCAAGCAAAATAATCAAACTTAAATTAGATATAAGTAAAAATATGTGTACATGTCTGTAAAATTGCATTTAAGTAAAAATCTGTAAAATTTATTCAGAAATGTATGTATGCATGCTTATATATATAGATGGATGCATTTCATGAATGGATACATACATACATGTGTATATGTACACTGGGCAAAAAAGAAAAAAATCGATATCTCCCATTCTACTGGGTCGATGGATGAAATTCAACTTGCATGTTTTATGTCTCGAAAGCGCGAATTAGGTTGTGTGTTAGATTTATGTATAGCTTTGTTCTAATATAGTAAAAATCAATAGCTGGTCTATGAAATTCAACTTGCATGTTTTATGTCTCGAAAGCGCGAATTAGGTTGTGTGTTAGATTTATGTATAGCTTTGTTCTAATATAGGTATTTTGACACAAAATCGGACACTTTTTCAAGATGTACATGAATTTACATATTGGCATGTTTTGAAATTTGGCATATAAAAGAGATAACAACAAATGCGGTTTATGTTGTAAAACATTTTATAGCCTCGAAATTTCACAACAAATTAATAAAAAATAGAGAGCAAAATGATTTTTCTTACCTTGTATCCAGCGCAGCATCAAGCGAGATCATACCTAATTGACTTGTAATCCAAAATAGGTGTAGACGGAAATTGTAAGATCATAAAACACATTCTTTATTAATACATGAAAAATAAATAAAAATTCGTTAGTATTCCAAATACATATTGGAAAAGGAGTTTCCAGTTCATACAGTTTATCGCGCTATTGGCGACAATCCATCACTATATGCATACCAACAGTTTATGCACTTTGTTAAAATTATTTGAAAGTATGAACGATGCCTTTCTCTTCTATGAAAAAAAAGGGAAGGAAAATAGGTTGCTATAAATTAAGTTCGACAAATGAATTGTAGCAAACTTGAAAAAAAAAAAAAAAAAAAAAAAAAATTGCGCAAGACACATTTTTGAATTTCTCCATAAATTTCACACTAAATTTTACAAAATTTAATATTAGGCAGAATTAGAGTCGTAGAATCGAAATATGGAAAACAATTGGCATTTTAGAAAAGTTTGATATTGTGTCAAAATGCCTATATTAGAACAATGCTATATATATTTCTAATATATATCTTAAGTCATGCTTTCGAGACATAAAAAACTCGATTTAAATTTCATCAATCGGCCCAGTAGAACGGGAGATATAGAACTGTCTCACTCTTTTTTTAAATGCAATGTACGTAGTTGTTTTATTTTCATAGAAATTTGTAGACAGGTAGTGAATGAGATGTTATAGCTTCCATAGATATTTAAATTAATTAACATAACTAACAAAATAAACAGTGATCAAATGTAAGAATGTTAATTATTTGTGTTACAAAATTTGTCAATTATAAGGAAACTTGCAGTGTGTAATATTTATCAGATAGCCGTTTAAAATTCTTTTAAATAACTTAGTGGGTCTAGTTATTTAAAATTTTATCCTTCAACTAATTTCAAATAAATTTAACTGCGGAACTCTAATTTCTGATGGAGTAAACTGACTACTGCATTATTTGCTTGCTGGACATAAGTTAAAAATGAGCTTTGTGATACTTTCATAAATGCAGCCTTTTTTTTACATTTTGTTCTAATCAGTCAAGTACTGTCCCCCCCCCCTAAAAAAAGAAAAGAAAAAGCAAAAACTTGCAATCTGATTTTTCAAATTTTAATGCTATTACCTGAAACGTAATGCAATCTTTTACATTTTTAATGCGGAATATTTATGTATGCAAACATATGATGTATAAAATTTTAAAAAGATATTCGCAATCTTTTTTTTCTTCATTGATGGGACACAATTTTCTGTATTTAGAAAGCAGTAGAGAAATTGTAGATGGGGGAACTTATTTAGATTTACATCATAAAACATTTTAGATTTAGTTTGGTTTATTTGATTATGGCAAAGCGCAGTATGTTTGCCTTCATGGAGGACTATCTGAGGAAAATCGGCTCATATCCATGGTGCATGTGGGGAAAACTATGAAATCCATGCTGCCAGCCTGTTCACCTAGAATTGAATCCAAGTCAAACTACTATTGTTCAGTGAACACAAATGAATTCAGTGCACAGCTGCTGGTGGGCCAAAGTATTTTAGAAATTGCTGTTCATTATAATCGGCTATTTAATAAAGTAATGTCCTTTTATTATCATTTGTAAGACTTTACCATTTTTTAGAAATATGCTTTTATACATTAAAAATTTTAATAGTTGTCTATCAATGTTTATTCTTAATTTTTTTTTTTATTAAATAAAACATTCTTACATGTATTTATAAATTCTTATTCGTTTTTAGGGGGGCTTTTACGTCAGAAGCAGGACCCAAACTTTGCCAGTGAAGAAGAATCATTTGCAGATAACAGTAGTATTGTCAGCAATTTATCTGAATTAAGAGTCGATAGTGATGATGATACATGTAAGACATAATTATTATAATGTAAAATCTATTGATTTTAAATTATTGAAATTGTACTTTGACAATTTGTACATATTATAATTTCTATATTTTGTTATTGGTAATTTATTTAATTCTTCATATTGTGCAGGGTAAGGTATCATAAGAGTTTTAAGTATCATTTATATGGATTAATAAAATTATATTCAGTTACATAATGTTTGAAAAACTGAATATATTGTTTTTGATGAATGAATGATTTTTTTAAATATTGTTACTGATAACTTAAACTAGTACTGTTAGCCTGCAGTCTTTAAGCATCTTCATCGGTCCTTGATAAATAAAAAGTTGTAAATCATTTTTGGAAAAGGCAGAAAATTGAATGCCAGTATGTAGCCAATTGAGAGCTCTTCTCGTGTTGGTTAGATTATAAGTCATTAGGGTTGTTGGCTATTTGGCTATGGTTTGTGACATGAATTGGATTTAATAGATAATCTTAATGCCATTTAAATAATAGGAACCGTAATAAGCAACTTCATTAGTCATTAACTGAAAATGCCCTACATTTCTTCTGAGTAGTTCATTGCAACTTAGTGCCCTTGTAACAGTGCGAAAAGCAATGTCCCAATGCAAAAAGGAAATGTGCATCCCAAAGTATGCAATTTCAAAACTGTCGTCATTGTGTTTAAAATCATGTTAATGTCCTTTTATTGCAGATTTAAATTTATGCACTTCAAAACTCATCATGTTCTACTCATTGTATTCAAAATCATCAACTTAATGTCCTTTTATTGCAGATTTAAATTTTGTAAAAAGTAAGCAGCTTCATGGTGTGAGATTTAGACTGTAGAATGGGTGCAAAAGTGCAGGATATTTGAGGGGGATCAAACATTCAATTACCAAAATTGTTAAATGAACATGTGTTTTCATAATAAAAAGCTGCATAAAAAGTCTCGTTCCACTTCTAAAAACTGATTAAGTATCAAATTACAGATGTCGAAAAACTCTTCACCATCTTTGAAATGGTGAGCCCATTCATACACACATGCCAACTAAGTCTTCTTCAGCATACACTTTGTCAGGACTTGTATGTCTTTTAATTTATCTCAGGAATATTGTGTGTCCTGAATGAGCTTACTCAAGTTATGTTCAAATATGTGTGGAATGAATGAGACAAGCAGGAAGGGTTAACTTTACCCTTTATTGTCCACGATATTACAGGTGCTCCCGGCACTTCGGGATACAAAGATCAACCACTTGTGGTCTGAACGTAAAAATATAAAAACTACTAACTAACTAAAAATAAGAGTTAACTTCGAGTGCTTTACACAACTGACTAACACTAAGACTGGCCTTTAAATTATTACGTATGTAGTACGCACACTGCCGAAACTACAATACATTTTAAATATCAAGAGGACTAAACCTCTGGCCTTAAAGGCAGACAGCAGCTGATTGAAAACTCTGTCAGAATACGGTGGCAAGGCTCACTTTCCCTCTAACTCTTGGCAAAAAGCCACTTGCTTGGGTGTTAGCAAGTACAATTTGCATAACCAAGTTAACGCATTTAATTCTGCCCGGAAGTGGAAAATAAGAGAAGATAGTAAAGTTTTTAAATAAAATAAATGTTAGTAAAACTTAAGATCTTTACAACTTAACCCAGTTTTTTACGAATCTGTAATTCTGCACCCTTGAATGCTACATCTGTACAACTGAGTAGTTGGCAGAGCTTGCAAAATGCTTGCTTGGGCAATGTCTGTTTCTGTTTCTGCTAATGTTGCTGATTCTTGAGTCAAAAATTAGTTTTTATTACTTGTTGTACCCCTAAAGGGTCGTTCAGACTGGGGTTTATCTGAGCTAACGGAGTCAGTTCCATGTGTTGACTAGCTCCATTATACATGCAGATCAGATATTTCAACTTGCTCTGCTACAGAGAAAAGCTGGTTTTGGAGACAGGTCAGCCAAGTCAGTTAGCTTACATAAACCCCAGTCTAAACTACCCTTTATTTATAGTATGTTTTCATTTTCATAAATTATTTTTCTGAACCTAAGAAGGTCTCAGTTGTAAATCTAAGTCATTTAATAAATAAGTTAATTGTCATTTTTGTTTAAAATTTTTTTATAGTTACAAAAATAAGCATTTACTGTTTTGCAAATATATGTGGTTTTTGTTGGGCGGCATGTAATAAATTTAGCTAAAGTAATAGTAATGAATAAGAAAGTAAAGCAGCATAGAAATGATTTTTTTTTTTTAATATCAAGTTGTTTAAAAATATTATAATTGGAGAATAAGCAATGTACTTAACTACCAAGAGCCTGAACATTATGAAATTTGATTATACACTATTCCTATAAAAATTACTGCTATATGAATTTCATGTATATTTTCATTGAATTTTAAAAATGGTTATAATTTCTTATTGACTGGTGTTTAACAAAACATTTAATCCTTAGTGATTGAAGCTGATGATGAAATAGTCACAACAGATGATTTTGAAGATAAACTTAAAGAGGCCATCGAAGGCACTTTGCAGAAAAGGTAAGCTATGCAAAATGTTATATCAATTAAAATTATTCTCATATTTTATTACCTGTTTTAAATTTTAGATTTCAAAATGAAAGTTTCATAAATATTTATATATGTTGGGTTAGTGCATATGAAACCATTAGTTACATTAATTCATAAGGCCAAATAGAATTGTTGAGATTATCAACATATACAGTGTGTGATCGGTTAACGAACAGTTTGGACAACGAACACTTTCAAAAAAGATTTTTGTGTTCGGACAATGAACAATATTCAGATAACGAACAAAAACTAATTCTAACGAAAACCTCTCAAATCTCGGAACACCCGACACCAGTCCTCAATTCGTCCTAAAACATTGATGTGCGCATGCGCTGACACGTCATCATTCATACTATGTAGCAGTGAGGCAGCACCATTCAGTAGTGTGCGACAACACTTTGTCAATTGTGTACCATAGTTGGTTTCTGTCCTTGTGATTTTCATATGTGCTTCTCTAAACGCCTTATAAAAAAAGCCTGAAAATCTGACAATATTTTATGGGACCTAAAAAGAGTGTCAAGAACTGTACTCACCATAAAATCCAAACAAGAGATTAAAGTAGAGAGTGGACAAAAAATGACTGATGTTGCTAGGCAGTATGGCTTGAACAGGTCTACAGTAGGCACAATCCTAGCTAAGAAAGATATCGTCAAGAAGACTCAAGCTGCTGAAGGAGTAATGAAAATTACATCTGAGAAGCAAAGAAGTGCCATCCATGAAAAAATAGAGAGTTTGCTTTTAGTTTGGATAAATGAACGGGAGATGAAAAGAGATGTAACTAGTATGGCCATCATTCAAGAAAAGGCTAGAGAAATTTTTGAGAAATTGAAAGAAGAAACTCCAGGTTCGTCATCCGAAAATCTAGAATTCAAGGCTACCACTGGCTGGTTTGTAAAGTTTAAAAGGAGATGTGGCATTAAATATGTGGTCATGCATGGTGAGTCTGATAGTGCAGATAAAGAAGCTGAGAGGTTATGTATCAAATTTCAAGAATTCATTGAAAAAGAAGGGTATTGTTTACAACAAATATTTAATTGTGATGAAACTGGTTTGTTTTAGAAGCGCATGCCAAACCGTACCTATATCACAAAAGATGAGAAAAGTGTTCCTGTGCATAAACCCATGAAAGACCGATTGACGTTACCTTTGGGAACGAACTTTAGTGGTGATATGAAGCTGAAACCACTTCTTGTTAATCTGTCTGAGAATCCTAGAGCATTCAAAAAAATTTCCATAATCAAGAGAAAACTGCCAGTGATGTGGAGAACGAATCAGGATCATGGGTCACTTGAAGTTTGTGCCCCGAGCATCAAGGATTACCTTGATACCAATTACTTGCTATTAGAAAACGCACCAGGGCACCCAAAGGACCTTAAAGTTAATTTGCTGATAGACTTTCCCTGGCTGACAGTGCAGTTTTTACCTTCGAATACAACTTCACTGATTCAGCCAATAGATCAAGAGGTTATTGCAGGTTTCAAGAAATTGTACACTCGTGTGCTGTTGAAGCATGCCATTTCTCCTCAAAAATTACCTTAAAAACATATTGAATAGAAAAAATTGACATTCTCGAAGCTATTCGTCTTGTTGAAAAGCCGTGGTCAGAAATCACTCAATGACAGTTGGTTTCTGCTTGGCGAAAGCTGTGTCCATCCCTCGTTCAAGGAGACGGAGGTGATCAGGGTGGCACCCGTGAAATTTTGGATGAAATTATAACTGCAAGAGATCTGGAATTGGAGGTGAACGAGGATGGCATTGAAGAGCTCATAATGGAACATGAAGGTGACTTGACGGCAGAAGAACTTCAAGAAATCTGTAATGAAGAACACAAAGAAACTCAGCGAAGTGTGTTTCCTTCTGAAAAAGAGGAAGACGAAAATAGGAGCAATGCCAACATCTACCATTAAAGATCTTTTGAGGAAGTGGGAGGATGTCAGAGCAATGGTCTTAAAATGGCACCCAAATCAAGCTGATGTCAATAGGGTTGCTGATCTCTACAACGACATTGCTATCAATCATTTCCTGAAAGTCCCAAAGGAGAGAGAAAAACAATTGGACATGTTCTTTAACACCCAAAGAAAGGAAAAGGACAATAATAAGTAAGACTATATGTATGTATTATATATTTATAATAAATAAACTTAATAAGAAATTATACTTGTACATGACATTTTTTTTTTAATTTTTAGGATCTCCAGAAGGAATTAATCGAATTCCTATTAACATAAATGGTAAATCGGTGATCGGTTAGCCCTCTGGCTGCTCATCCTGCGATTTCCACGGGCAACTCAAATGTAGCAAAATCTGCTCATCCCAGCGATTTCGTGGGCATGGTTTTTCTTCCTGTTATTGAGGAGCGCATTCCCGTATTTTTCCCCATTTGAACCCATTGAAATAAATTATATACAGTATTATTTGACATTATAGTTTACGTTTTGGCCAACACATATATCGTTAGTTGTCCACTAAAATATGCGGGATTTGAAGGCACATGGTATTACCAGCTCAAACTTCACTTTTTTACCGCATTTTTTCTTACAGAAATGGCTGCTAAGAAAATGTTCAGTGATTGATCAGAGAGTATATTCCTAATAAAATTGTTGAATGATTAATTCGATTTTAGCTTTAGATAGTTATAATTAAATTGATTATTAATTAGACTGCTATTGAATCTGGCGCGAAAAACTGTGAAGTTGGACTTTGCCTTGAATCATGACCGTTTCTGAACTCATGATTCAATAATACTAAACTGCGTTTCTAAGGTATTTTTTCCTCAGTGCTTTCATATTTTCTTAAAATTTATACATTTTACTTTTTTATCTTATGCAAATAAATAGAAATCAACTGTAATTCGATTGAAATTTATTTTTAAAAAAAAATTTTTTTTTTGCTGATAGCATCTGAAATTGGTTTTTCTGGCAACTTAGTTTCTCATGATAAAAATCTACATAAAAGTGTTTTCTAGAAAGAAAAAGTGCATTTTTCAACTTTCCAATATATATAGATTTAAAATATGAAAAAAAAAAAAATTACACATTTTTTGAAGCGATTTTGGTCTACAAATTGAGCAGTCAGAGGGTTAATGAACAATTTGGATATCGAACATAATCTTGAAACGGGTTCTGTTTGTTAACTGATCACTCACTGTATATACTAAAAAGAAATTTACGTATGGCATATGTGCTATGTTATGCAGCCTATAAGTGGAGATACTACTGTTGCTTAGGTTGACTTCAAAATGGAAGGTCTCAACAGCACACATCAATGAGCAGTGGATATTTGAATTCAGTATTCACCAAAAAAGAAGAAAGAAAGAAAAAAAAAGAACAATGCAAGACTTGAAGAAATAGAATCATCTATTTTTATTATTATTATTATTATTATTTGCCGCCCAACCAATATAGTGGTTAGCATTGCTGACTGTCGTGCTGAAGGGCCTGGGTTCGAATCCCGGAGAAGGCATGGATGTTTGTAAATGTAATAGTGTCCGTGCTGCATGGAGGCACTCTAAATGTGCAGTGAGCCAAAAGTCCTCTTGAGAGGTTGATGGTAGAAAGAGGGTGGGAGACCCTCGTACCTCCACCCCCAAGGGGCTCTCAATCTACATTGGGGGCGAAACTTAGCTAACTCGCACTGTAAGATGCTCAAGGCTGTGCGCTCCTTGCCACGGGGAATTTCATGGGCCTTGGGCTGACTATAGCTCAGACAAGTGAGCATTAGCAGAAACATTGTTATTATTTTATCTTAATACGTAAACTTCTGTGGAAAAATTAAATACAAGTGTGATGGAACAGCACATACTGTGAAGCAATTGCATTATGATTGGAAAATTATTAAAAATAAACCTTTAGTTCAATTCTTGATTTATTTATTTATTTATTTTTTTAGTCCTATACACAAAATTAATGTGATAACCATTTATATCTATCTACAGATTGTTTAATGATTCCATTAGCTACAACCAAATCACTAGGTACACTTTGTTTAATAAGTGTAAAATATATGTTTATCTTTCAGGAAAAACCCGAGATACATTGCTGGTAATATGTAAACTTTTCCTATTCCATTAGATGATTGGGATAATGTGTAGTTCATCTTTAGCACTGGAAGTATGTAGATGAAGTGTGAGGTTTTTTTATGTTGATATCAAAGGTTACCTCTTTCTGGCTGGCTTGCTAATGGCAAAGCATCTAAGGAAGGTAAACCTAGCTGATTGCCTTTTAAATTAAAGACTGCTCATATTCATGTTATGCTTGTGTCATGAAAGCCCTTGCAGCCAGCCCTTTTAATGGAATTCAAACTGAAATTAAATTGCCGTTGTTAAGCATAAAACAAAAAGAGTTCTGTCAACAATCAATTCAAATAAAATATAAAGCTCTTACCTGATTTTTGATCTAATAAGCTTCAGAGTCGGCAATTGAACCTATTTTAGATATTAATCTTTTTTTTTTTTTTTTTTTTTTTTTTTTTTTTTATCCAATGCAATCAGGGTCAACTTTACACTCTTGATGGTACACAATACATCTTAGCTACATTCTGAACATTAAAAAAATTTTAAAACCTATATGGCATATCAGTGCCATCTGTCAGCTAGAATTTGTAACAAAGCATTCTCTATCCTGTAGACCTCGTATGAGCCTTAAATTCCTTGTATTTCATTTGTACTAACCTGATAGTTTTATAAACATATATATTTATTATTATTATAAATTGCATTATTGTTTGCAGTGCAAAGACACGTATAAATTCTCTTGAAGTTATCCGAAAGAGTTTGTCTTCAAAGTACATGTTTGATTTCATCATTGATAGGTAAGTTTTTTTTTTTTTTTTTTCTATTTTCCCCAAAGGAATAAACTTGATAAGTTAAATTGTATTAGTTTGAATCAACTGAAATAATTATTATAGTGCAAATCAAATAAAGTTGAAGGGAGCTAAGTTCATGGGTTATATAACACTTAAGATCATATTTAGGATTTTGTAATTAAAGATACCAAGGCCGCCTTATGAAATTTGACTGCAGCAATTACATTTGAATGCCTAAAGTAGCGTACATCTTTAGGCTAAGCGCTTAGCTTAGCTTTATGTGGGCACTGAGGTGTTTTGAACTATGTTATTTATATCTTCTTTCTACAAGCTTTTATTCAGTTCACTCATAGTATATGTTGCTATGGATGGAACTTTGTTAAGTATTTTTAAACTACTTCTGATAAGCTGTCGAGTTCAAATTTTGTACACATGCTGTTTGTAGACAACATTGATGTGGTGAAGTAATCTTTTCAAAACTTGATTTAGATTTTTAAAAATTTAATCTTGAATTAATTTTTTACACAAATTTTCATTTAATGGACAAACTAAAAATATCAGATTATAATACCAGATCAATATTATTTGCAGTGTAAAGTTGTACTGTTTGGATGGAGCAAAAAAATCTTTTAAATGAAATTTGAAACTTAGTTTTTGAATTTTTTGTGAACTTTTGAAAAGTTGCTCAATTTTTGACTGTTTGAGTCCATAAATTAAAACTTTATATCTAAAAATGTATTGTTTATAAAGTTTTCAAATTTTCATTATTATAAAACAAATTCATCACCTTTTTTTAAAACAAGAATGGCAAAAAAATATTAATTGGACAGTTTTTTTACACTTTAAAAAAATATATTGCAGTTTGAAAGAGAAGGGAAACAGTTTTCGGATATGGCTTGGAAACATACAATCGAGGTTATGTCATTTTATCAGGTCTTCTTGCTTTAGTAACCTAAGGAGAGGAAAAAAAATTTATAGTTCAAAGATTGAGTAGTGTTTATTGTTTCAGCATTTCATTTTAAAAGTTGATTTTAATATTTTTTGTTATAGGTAGCATTATATTCTTTCATGAAACGTTTAAAATTCTAACATCCAAAAAAATATTTCTGTTATAAAGATTTGAAATTTTTAAACTTTATGCAACATTCTCTTTCACCCTCTTCTAAAACAAAAATTATAAAAGTATTAATTAAACATTTATTTTATTTTTTTTTTAAACTAGCCACATTTTTATAAGTTTTTCTTTCAGCTTGCTTCTGGTGTTAGTCGCTACAGTTAAAACTTTGCCATCAATTTTTTAAACTATTTTTTGATATGTTATCTAGCTCAAATTTGTGCACACAGTCATTATGGGTGACAGTAAAAATTAACACAATGATATATTTTCCAAAATTCAATTTAGATTTTTAAAATTTAATATTGAAGGCTCAGGTGCTGGGCACTTCAACAGGCTCCTAGGCTGGGAAAATTTAATATTGAAATGATTTTTTGCACATACATTTGTTTAACAAATAAACTAAAACTCTTAGAATTTTATTGTTTGAACCATGATAAAGAATGGCAATATATATATACCCCCCCCCCAATTTATTTGATGTAACAGACTTGTTGAATGTAAAAAAGTGATTTTTCGTTTTTGAAAAACAATTTTTCAACTGAATAATTTGGTTGATAATGTGTTATTAAGACTAAAAAGACAAAAATAAAATAAGATTTAAACAGAAAAGTTTTCACAAAATAAGCTTTATTTAAAATTTAAAGTAATTAATGAACTAAAAAAAATTTATTTATCCTGTAGTTTCATGTGATCAAAAGTTTAAATAATTCTCTTTACAAAATTCATCTACAATTTTAGAACATGAATAATAGAAATGTGGATGGCCAAATAACATTTTTTTATTTGATTTGCATTGTCAAAAGTATAGATTATTATATCTCTATAAATTTATTACAGGTATATCAGTTTACCAAGGGCCTTTGAATTAAGATTTGGAAATGCACTGAATACTAAATTAATTCATTAATATTCAAAAATAAAACTATGTCAAAGTAATGAGAATTTTATTCTAAAATATGAACAGCAAAAACAAAGAAATAGTTTATTTAATATATTAGATTAAGATCATTTTTACCAAAGCAAAATAAAGTTAATAATGATAGGAAAACATTGAGTAAATAACTATCATTAATAATGATTGGAAAAACATTGAGTAAATAACTATCATTAATAATGATTGGAAAAACATTAAGTAAATGGCTATGCTTTGCCAAATTAGCAAATTTGGTGGAATGTCGCTAAGCTGGCAATGGTTCTGGTTACCAAAAGTTGACAAACTTGATGATCATTTGGCAACATTTTGGTCCAGTCTGTGTATCATTACAATAGATATTGTAATTGAATAACTGTTATTGATTTCATATGTAACTGTATCTAACCTTCATATGCCTTCCAGTAATTTCAAGAAGCAAAAAGTATTAGAAATAGCTTGGCAGCCAGGTGTAAACTATTCAAGACCAGAGAGAACACCTGGTCTCATTTGTTTGTCAGTTAAGTGTCAGTTTCGAGTATACTCAAACCTGTTTTTGTGTGGTGGATAGGGATCCCATAAAAGAAAATGTTTAAAAAAAATGCAATTTAAAAGTGTTTATTATTATTATTTTATCCAGTAAATAGGGACTGCATTAAAACAGTCTCTCATAGAAAATAACTCAAAACCATATGAAATAACTAGGAATTTCTTTTTTTAGAATCTGAATTAGAAAATACACATGCGAACATTTTTAAATATTTTATTTACATATGTACTTAATTTTCACATACAAGCATATAACCATTATCCTTCGAAGTCTGACAACACGTGAACTTTCTTGTAATAAACTCTTTCAAAATCACTTTCGTCACTTACTATTTCGTACTCGTTTAGAGTTGACTTAATGACTGAATGTAATCGGCAGTCAATTTTTGCAACGACTGTTTTTTTCACTAGTCACTTGTATACGTCTCAGTAGCACAATATATATTTTATTGATAACTTCATCAATTATGTTCCCATTTGATTGAAATTTTCATATACTGCACATAAAAAAAAAAAAGGTACAAATAAAAAAAATCGCGTGAAAACAGGTTTGAGTGTATTGAGGTATATCCGGTTAAGCTTTGCTCTTTAGATGATGCCCTTTGCATTGCATTATGTATAATGCTCTTAGTAGTTTGAAATGTTACTATTTAATTGCACTGTGTGATACTTTGAAAACCTGTATGAGTATTTCTGTGGAAAGTTCCAAAACTCTGAAGTGTTTCTTTTGATAAAATTAATTTTATCAACATATCATTGAAACTGTGCATTCAATCTGCTATGAACCCATATGCATGCAACTATGTTATACAAAATCTACCTTTATGCAAAATCTCTCTCAATGTTCTCTTCGCTGTATTAGTTTTGGTTTCATGTTTAAGTTAGAAATAAATGTTAATTTTTTATGAATAATATGTAATAAATGTGTATAACTAAAATTTTTGGAATGATTTACCTGGAAGCAACATTGATTCTATCATGTTTTCTTCTTCTGAATCAATTCTTTGCTTTCTCATAAGAACTGTGCTGCTTATTTGTTAATTTTTTTAAAGCAATTGTTGTTGCTTAGTATCTTTGTCTCAGCTGGGCATCTCTCTGCCATGTAGCAATAAAATTAGCTATACATTGATTTAAAGCATATGGAAGAATCAAAACATATAAACAGTTCTAAATAAGAGATTTAAGCATATGCCGATATTCACCAATATAGGTCAGGCTGGTACAAAAATTGCTTGATTATTTTATTAATTTTTTATATATAGCTATTAATTTTATGCAAGCAAAGTGTGCTATTTAAATAAACTGTCTCGTAAGGCATTTTTTAAAGATATCACAAGTAAGCCAGAATTTTAAACCTGCTGTCTGTTAGGCTTTTGGAAATCCATGTATAGTTTTATATCCAGCAATTAATGTTGAAGGGTATTCCTCAGTCCTAGCAAGAAATGAGAATTATAGAAGTTTTCATTCTATTTACATTGGGAGATCCCTGTCCTTAGCAGGTGGTTCAGTCATTTCACCTGTTTCGTTCCCATGATCACTCTCTTGGATTACCTTACACCTGTTTACTTCTTCCTACTGAGAACTGTAGCAAGAATAACTGGATTTTGAATTCTATGAATGTAAAATATCCTTTTGATTGTACTACAAGATGCTTTTTCTGAATGTATTGTTTCCCTTTTTTCCTACTGAAAAGCAGCTTTTAAAAGAGAGGGTTTAAGTTTTCACCTCAGTTGTTCCCTTGTCACAAAATTGCTTTTCACTATACTTTGAAATCTTAAGATTGCTAATAAAGAGCATTTCTGTTTTTAGTTATTTCTCTGTCTCTATCTTATTTTTGAAGTCCTTGAGTGTTATGGGTTTAGTGCTATAGTTTCAAAGTTCTGATAATTTCATGAATAAAAATGGTATATTCTTGATTGTAATTAAAAAAGGATTCTCTCACTCTGTACTTTAATTCCTTTTCTTCCAATATACATTCAACCCGAAATTGGATACATTAAAACCTGGGAGAAATTTGCATGCGTATTTTCAATGTGAAAGCTGCCCTTCTATATGGAGTTTTCTTCTATAATTCTGAGAGGGTTAATAAGAGGTAAATAAATATGTTAAGATCCCAATTGAAAGAGATCAGAACCAACAGAATTGTTCCTTGCATGAGGTACTACTGTATTTCATAACAATATTAGACTTAAAAATTTATTCTCAATAAATAGTTAATTTTTATGAAATTTTGTGTCTAGTTAATTTTATAAGAAAGGATGAAATATTACAAATTTTATATAATCTGTTTCAGGAAAGTTACTATGTGTGATGTAGTTGAACGAAGTTTGAAAAGAGGTAAAGGAGAAGAGCAGATTCTAGGAGCAATAGTGGCAGCTTTGATTTGCACACAGCTTGGCTCAGTAGAAGAAAGTGAAACTGTGTTCCAAACAATACAGCCTATTCTTCTAATCTTACTCTCTGATCCTGTTATACCACCAGCAGTAAGGGCACAAGTATGTGTAAAACTAGTATATGAATGATTACTTTTGGTTTCTGAAAAATGCAAATACAGTAATTGCTTTATTGATTTTAATGATAAGTGTATAAATGCAAAGCGCCATGTTTTCTTGACAAATTTATAATCTGAAATCTAAGTAAGTCATTTCAGATCTTTTTAATAGTGAGGGGGGGGACGATATACCAAGTTTTAAATCTGCTAATTTGCTGTAGCCTGCATTCGTCAAAAATGTAACAAATTTTGTAACTTAAATAAAATGTATATAAGGGTAATACAACTTAGCCACTCATAATTACAATGCATTCATATAATTTTTACCCGTAATTTTCACTTATCCTGCATTCAGCATTTCCCAAGTTTTCCAAGTAGTTGAACCTTTGCTGTGTAGATATATATATATGTTATTTAATTATTTTATTAAGTTAATTTAAGGGAAAATGCATATAAAGGTAATATAAATTAGATGTTCAGATAATTAAAATGCATTTAATGTTGATGAAATATGAGTAGAACCTTTTAATTACAGTAGCTATACTGATGCTGAAAAATTAAGGCATGTACTCAAAAGTTACTTGATTTTATATTTTTGTATAATTTTTGCTCACTTTTATGTGTCATTTATAATTTCTTGTCAACATTATTTTACAAATGTAAAAGTTATTTTTAAAATGATTTTATAAAGTAATGATGTGGATTTTGTAATTATATATATATATTATATATAAATTATATATATTAAATCCTTTTTTAGTTAAATTTTTTGTATTTTTCAACTAATAAATGTTAAATTTAAAATATGTTCTATTAATTTATTATTCTTAATAGCAATACGTAGAACTAAATACAAAATCTCAGTGATTTGTGTCTGTTTCTAGAGGAAAATTTCAAATTCTTAATTGAGGTTTTTTTTTTTTTCCCCCTCTCTTTTTCTTCTCTATTTAGTGTGCATCATCACTAGGACTTTGTTGTTTTATTTCATGCTCAGGACCTGAAGTAAGTTTAGTCATTGAATTGGCCGAGTTTCACCTGCTTTCGATTATGTAAAGTTAAATTTGTTACTTGTAATTTTAAAAAAATTAAATTTTATTTAATTATTAAAATTACTTAATTTTTGTTATTTGTAATGTGTTTATTATTTGTGCTTACATAAGTGTAGCACTGCCCTAAGAAAAATTTTGAATTGTCATTTAATTTTAACCAGACTTTACCTGTGTAGATGAATCAAAGAGTACATGAATTTTTGGTATAGGGGGATAATTAACAACAAGAAAATATTCATGTTACTGTACAGTGTGCATTTAGAAAGAATTCTTGGGGGAAAAAAAAAAAAATTGTGAATAGTATAACAAATATCCCAAAACCAATTGAGTTAAAGCAAAGAATTCAAGCTGAACGTTTACATGTGATAAAAACTAATCAAACACATTGTCAGAAGCATATGTGACACAGGCAGCCTCCTAGAGCACCAGCTAAGATGTAATCACAAGTAACAACTACATCAAAATTTAGTCCAATTTAAATTATTATGTTTAATTTATATAGGGCACTAGTTATAATTATCACCTTGAATGCCAAAAATACTGTAGCCAGGCAAGTATGTATACTCTACAGTCATTTCATCAAAGTGCGGGAAAATTGTTAGTGATGTTATAATATCATGGAAGACAGTATTGTGGTCTGTAAGAAAAATATACTATGTAAAACTGGTGAATTGTGTGAAAATATTTCATTTTTCATCTGTATTGAAGAACTGCAGGCTTTTACACCAGATAAATTGGCAGAAACAACATTTCCTCTAGAAAAGTTAAAATCACATTTTATTTCTGAGTAAAGTGAATGAACCTGACAGTCTGCGTGCAGATGTTGAAAATCCAATGTGTAATACAATATTAAGTATGTTTGTATGTGTCACATTTGCTGAAAAATGTGTAACCATATTTTTATGTCTGCACATATACACTCTCACAGTGTTGCTGGCATTTTCTTTTACAGTTAGCAAAATTTTATTTGCAACAACAGGACATGCTCTCTTAATTACATCAGTATACAGGTTAGCCTGCAGCAAGCCAGGCCACAGCAAGGCAGTTGATTACTAGCATGTGTCAATTAATAGTATATAAATATTGTTTCAATATGAACATTTCCTACAAGTTTGCTTTCTTAACAACATAAGATGATGCATCAATATTAACACTTAGTACTGTATTTAATATCTTTCATGGTAGTAATTATTATTTACTTTAAAATGAATTCAAATTTATTGAATATATATATATATATATTTTAAGGTTATTCAATCTACTATGGAATCTCTGCATTCTGTGTTCAGTGCTTCTTTCTTCAAAGGCAATGGTGTAGCTCCCACTCATAAACCTGAAATAAGCTCACTGCACAGTAGTGCTCTCTTAGCTTGGAATCTTCTCCTAACTGTACTTTCACCTCCTTATATCATGGACCTTGTTAATACGTAAGTGCCAGATTAGGTTTTGCATGTTTCAAACTCTATTTGAATTCCATTTATCTGAAAGAATTGTTCTTTTCCTTTTGTAATATAGAAATATCAAACATTATAGTATGTGCTTTTAAGTACTGTTAAATGACTATATGCATACTTTACGTATTTGTCTCGCAAGATTAACTGTAAGTAAATAAATGGCTTGTATATATTCATAGCTCAATCATATATCATCAGATGTCAGTTACATATCATTATGTGTAATTTAGCAAATTGGTAGCATATTTTTGCTAGCAGAAAAACAATTATATGCTTATATATCTCTATGGTTCTTTGTGTACTTCAGCAAGTCTTTGCTTAATCTAAATAGCTTTCCGAAAAGCAGTTAACAAAATGGCCAACCTAGTGATTAGTTTGTGATTTTAATATATGTATATAAAAAGTACAAGATATGTTCAGATATAAAAAGGAATTTTCATTGGGATTTTGCATCGTACATTTCAAAATGGCATTTCACATTTCAAATTGTTGCCATCAAATATTAGGGCCCTATCACTTCTATAGACATGCGCGCTTACTCGGGACAATTCCGAGAAACGAGATTCTAGTAGCACGGCTTTAAGCGGCAGGCTTCCGAGAAATGTTTCGTCTAGCTAGGAGGAACGTGTCCCGGCTACGAGCAACATTTTAAAACTTTCCCGAAAATGTTCCGACTGGAGACGTGTTCCACGAACGTTCAACCAATCAGACGAAAGTTCTGCTTCTGAAGGATCACGGGTAACTTTCAATATGGCAATGGCTCTCTCACTGTGAAGTGATGGACGGTGGAAATAGAGGCTGATTTAATTATTGCTGTTTTGTTGTAATACAACTGCCTGAGTTATTTTTTAAATGTGTATATATTCATTAAATATATAACGTGGAAATTTCAGAGTTGGCAGTATTTTTCGACGTTCTTGCAGTTCGGATTTGTTTGCAAATTGTTCGTCGCCAAATTTGTCGTATTTCGTGCTGATCGTGTATTATCACTGTTATATAATAGAATTTTATTTCTTAAATTTAAGTTGAATAAATTTTTAAAATCCGTTTGTATATGTGTGGCTTTTCTCCTAATTATTTATCTTTTAAATTGTTAATTGCATAATCAGTGACACATTTTAAACAGCATAAAAGATGTATAAAAAAGAAAAGCATAGCTATGCAATAATGAGAATACTCATTAAATTTGTCTATTATTTTCTGTTATTAATGAAATACTTTTGGATTATAAATCATTAGAAACTATACTTTTATGAATGCTACCATATTGAAACATTGGAAATTAGGGATTTATAATTATGCATGATGAAAATTGTATATACATTCATTAATATAAATTTTATTCATTACTTAATACTAATAAAAATATATTAACAACTTCTAAACCATCGCATCTCTCTATCTGTATGTATATATATGAATTATTAGATGTGTAGATATATGTATGTATAAATACAAAAATGAACATTGCCAAGGAGTTTATTTGAAATTACTTTTAATCAGATCGATTATGTAAGATAACTATAGATTCTTTGCAAATTATTATGGGTATGTAATAATCAGTTGAAAAATAATTGATGAGTATTTGAGTACTAAAGAGTGTACACATTTTGTTTATTGGGTTAATTCATAATTATATCATATGTATGATCTACGTAATAAAAAACATGACTAATAAATAATAAGAAATGTAACAGCTGTGCATTTATAACATTTGATTACTTAAAACAGTGCACAACTGATTATCACCTTCATATCTGTTTACATAATGAATTGCACTTTCCAATTAAGTGCACGAGCTTACTAGTGGCCGAAGCGTCGTTGAACACTGGTAGTTCTGTCTCAGGTTAGAATGCCGCGAACGGGCTGGCTACATGACATTTGCTTGGTTTGCCTCATTTGTAACTGGTATACGAGCCAGTTTTAAAAAATCTTCTACAAAGGGATCCCTCCTGTTGTTATCCCTTGATGCTTTGCGGTAATCACATAAAACAAACTGTGCCCACCCGCCGAGCGGTAAAGTCCCTGAACACTGGTAGTTCGGTCAGGTTCGAATCCCGCGAGGAGCTAGCTGAGTGGGCGTTTTCCTGGTTTTCCCATGTATACCGTGTATAGGAGCCAGTTTCTCTTAAAACGTCCTCCACGAAGGCATCCCTCCACCTAGTCAGATAGCCATCGGAGATTTGCTGTAATCTCAATAAACCAAACCATAAAACAAACTCATGATGTGAACACCTAATTTCTAGAGTTGGGTAATTAATGTGTTTTAGGTAATTAGAGTGTCTATGGGACAGTAAACAACTCGCACATGTTTGATTGCTCATGTATTCATTGCTGTATTTGATCTTCGTTTTGCTGAATATTCTGCTGGCTGTGAGGAGGTAAATATCAGCCATATAGATTTTGTCATAGAAGGTCTTTTTTTTTTTTTTTTTTTTTTTTTTTTTTTTTTTGTTGTTGTTGTTTGTTGTTGTTGTCTGTTTGTTTGAATGGACAAAACAGTAATTATGAGCCATAAAGTTAGTCAGAAAATGCTTTCACCAGGTCACAAATTTTCATTGAAATGCAGACAACAGAAAATACACATAAGCGATGTGTGATAAATAGACTTATCCAGCACATATTTTTAAACTATTCTTAGTGTATACAGAATTTGGCTGTTACTGATGTAATTGATTGCTATAACCAGAAGTGTGTTTATCTGTTACATGAAGTGCCAGAGTGGAGATCAAAGTGATTAACTTGATAGCAATCACCTTTCTATTATCTTGCATTACTAACAATAAAGTTTAAAATGAAAAGCATGTGAGCAGTACAAAACAACACAAAGAAGCGAAATGTGACTTGAAAGGAAACGTCACTTTCGCCAATCTGAGCGATAACTGATTCTTGTTTGGCTTTCAGCCTGTTTACCAAGTGAAGATGGTAATCCTATTTCGCCAAAGGCCGTTTCTCAGAACTGTTGCTGCAAGCGCTTTGTTCCGGCAACAAACAGCTAATGTGATAACGCTTTTAGAGCCATGCATTATGTTTAAAGAGATGAAATTATGAAGAATCTTCATGAATGTATGTATGTTTCCCGCATTGTGAAAAAAACAATGCGTAACGTAGTCCTCCATTCGAATATGGGCATCAGGAAGCCCAGATATGGAATTTGCTTTATTATCTATAGCTATTTCATGTTTTGTAAAACTTTAATGAATTTTTAATTAACTAACTCGATGATTTCAAAGCGAGCAATGGCAACACTGTATGAAAAAACTTATTACCAGCATGTGAGATTGTGTATTGGAAATTCCTTAGAATACATATAAAAGATATACCCTTTTTAAATGTTTTGGGATATTGCTGTTGAATTGAATTTTATGGTTTAAGTGCAAAGAACATGATATTTAATAAAGGTAACGCACAAAAAGTTTTAAAAAATGGCCCGCTGGGTGTAATATAAAATCTGAAAGTTTTCAGACCTCCCCCTTCTCCAGTCTCTCATCTTTTGGTATAATCATCGTGTTGAAGCAGAAAAGTTACAGTAATACTTGGTAGTGAACCATAATTAGATTTGTGAGTAATAGAGGTATTATTTCATCTCAGATTTGTTTGAGACTTAAAAATGAATTTGAAAGTGAAAGCCTGTATCAATGTAGAGTGTATGGTTTCATTGTGTTATTAAACATTTGGTTTGATCGTATTCAATATTTAGTTAAAAAATTCCTTGTTTATTTTTGAATTTTCCTGATATTTCTTTTGTTTAGATTTTAGAAAAGGAAGTGAAGCAGGATTATGCATTTGGTTTTATGATGTACCTAAATCAAAATTAATCAGTTTCATTTTAGTTGGGATGGAAAAGAGATATATGTTTGATCAAATGAAAAATAACTTTGTTCCTCATTTGTGTTAAAATAACTTTTTGGGGGGGGGGGGGTGCAGTGGCGGGGGGGAGTATAGATTTCTCTTGCTTTACATAAGAAGAGCTTTTCTCAAGTCTACTTTTTATTAAAATGAAATAGGATAAAGAGAAGAGAAATTACTACAGTGTATACATATTTGAAATGCAGATAAAAAAGCCAGTTATCTGGACTTTTATGGTAGTCAGATGGTCCATGGCTTTAGTTTGAATGGCTGGAGTTCTTGCATTACCATGCTAATTTTTGGGGGATAGAATTCTTCATTTATGTAACATTTAAGGTTGTTAATAATTATTTATTTTTATACAATGTCTGAATATTGATTACAGTTTTAATATCCAATTTAAACTTCTTTATTACAATCATTAAAATATGTCTGTATATCAGGTTATAGTATATATTTGTTGTTGAGTGTATTTTTTATTAATCATCATGTTTCATTTATAGTGGAGTTATTTTATAAAATTATTTGTGCTTAAATCATTTTTATTATTGCTTTATTCTGTTTAATTATTTTGCAGCCATTTAAAAAAATTGCCTCAATTACTTGACAGTATAGACGTCGATTTAAGAATAGCAGCTGGAGAAACTTTAGCAGTATTCTATGAATTAATCCGACAATGTCGAGAGGTAAGTTATTTTCTATATGCAAAAATTAAATTTTGTTCACTTAATTTTTTTAATTTTGAATTGATATTAAAATATTCAATTTGGTTAAACGTTGTAAGCAATATTATGCACGAAATAGAAATAAAAAATTTAGCTCTTTAATTAAAGACATAACTATGAAATAATATTCAAAATCAAAATATGTGGAATATGTTGAAAGTATGTTTAAATTATGTATCTAAATCCTTTAAGCCAAAAGTTATTAGTTTTTGCATATGTTTTAAAAGCAGTTGGTTACTTTTATGTATTGGTTGTTTATATAATCAGCAGTCCGGAATAATAGTCCAAATAAACTCCTAAGATGAAAACTTATTAATATTGAAAAAAACATTTTAATAGCACTTTTGTAGTTTAGTGTAGTATGTAATTATGTACTAATATGTAAATTTTGTAACTGATTATTTTGAAATGTTAAGTTTCAAAAAAATATTTATTTAAAGGACTTTGAAGATGATATTGACAGCTTATGCGATAAACTACGTTTGTTGGCAACAGATAGTCAAAAGTTTAGAGCAAAGAAAGATCGTAGACAGCAACGATCCAGTTTCAGGGATATACTTAGAGCTATAGAGGTAAATATATAGTTTTCAGTTTTTTATAACTGTAACTTTTTAATTTCATAATAGGCATAGACAGCCCTTCCACTAGAATCCTATAATTCTGTGACAAGGCCGAAAGGAATACCTATCATTTGCATTCAAATTTTCTTCCTCGTTCTGTATTATTCTGTATATTTGGTATTTATTTGAAACCTAAAGAGGAGATGTTGTAAAACCTAAAGAGGAGATGTCATGTTGGCATACTCATTTCTTACTAAGTAGACATCTTTTCAGAGCTTGGGTTTGAATATTTTCTCCCTTAATTACTTCCTTGTATGAAGTAAAAAGGAAGTATTGAAAAGCTTCAGGCAGCATATTTCAAAGAAAATATCCACTTTTACCGCTTTCGAATGCAATTTAACAATGTTTTTGCGTGATATCTGTACGTAAGGACAGAATAAAAGACTCTTTTCCTCCAAAAAAACTAAAAAACTGCTTTAAAATGAATTCTGAAGAGAATTTTTTGTGGCGTCTGTACGAATGTATGTACGTGCCTACGTACGTATCTCGCATAACTCAAAAACGACTAGCCTCAGAACATTGAAATTTTGTATATGAGACTACTATAACATGTAGATGTGCACCTCGTATTTTGGTTTCAATCGGTCGCGCCAAACGTATATAAATATATTTATAAATATATCCACTCTGTTACCCGGCTCAGTGATCTCAGTTTCATTACTCTTATATTTTTGTAAATTGTACATTTTTTGCTTTAAAAATGATTGAATTATGTTGTTTTTATCTTCCAATTAAGGGTTTTATGCCTTCAGTAAATCGGTATGCAATATTTTTAGAATTATCAACAATTTTAAAATTGTTTAAGTGCCGCTAAGCCTAATTTGATGACGACCATTGTTCTTATTTACATTTGAAACAGCTGAGTAGCGGATTTGTTGCCAATCTAGAGAAACTTATCTTCGCAACAACAAAGATAACGCCTTCATTTATTATTTAAATCATGCTTAATCATTTCTGGAATTTTTTCAAGGAAATGAACGTTTAAGATTTACTTCGTAATTTTTAATGCAGATATTTTGAATTTTTATGTATTTTTGCCTTGTCGCGAAGTGAAAACTGAATTAATTGAATGAGAAATACTCAATCGTCTGTGAAAAACTGTTTCTTTTTTGTTTTGTTTGCTTAATTTCTTTTATTTCACTTTATACATAGTTCTAGCTTTATTATAGTATTTGAATAGAACAGGTGGCAACGATTAGATAATTCCTTAAATGATATAAATTTTGTGCATTCTAAATGCACATAATTTAATATTCCGTACAAGGAAGTCACGTGGTGTATACATCAGATTTTTTCCCAAGTAATGTATACATCTTTTGCAGATCAGTCTTTAAAGAAATTAATTTTATAGCAAATATATAACTAAAAGTATTTTATACTTTATTTTAAAAATTCTTATACCATTTCCACTCTTGCATTTGACAGTTTTGCAGTTGTCAGAATAAGTTTTCAAGTATATAGTCCGTATAAATTTGTATTTTTAGAATGCTAAACACTGTTACTTTAATATTAGTTTTTATGTTTGACCAAACACATCCTTTCGTGTACTATTAAACACATTTCTTGTCTAAGAGTAATTTCAGTAAAAGAAATCATCATTTGTTTCAAATTCGCTGTTTAACATTATTTTATTAAGCCGGCTGTATAACTTGCTTCCTTTAGAAACAAGATGAATGTGAATAACCAGTTTTGAAAGCGCATCTAGTTTGTGGGAGGAAAAAGATAAATTAATATTTATGTTATTTATAATGCATATAAATACTAATTTGTGTTCTGAATTTTGAAAAACAAAAGCTGTCAGGGCAAGCATTAGAATATGATTAAAAATATTGCAGAAATGTTGGTATTTTTTTACATTATTGTAGCAATAGGAATAATAAAAATGCCGAGACTAAGAATTATTGGTCTACAGAGTCTAGGAAATGACGTCATACAGTATTTCCATATGTGTGTTGTTAATTATCTCACTTGTCTGACAGTAACATCAGAACAAGGCCATGAAATTCATTGTGGCAAAGAGTGCAAGTTTGCACCTGTCGTGGGCAAGAGCCTTGAGCACCATATAATTTACAGTGCGACTACATTAAGTTCCACCCCCAATTTTGATGGTGAGCACCCTGTGGTGAAGGGTTTCCACCAACCTCTCAAGAGGACTTTCAGCTCACCACTTAATTAAAGTGCTCCCATTCCGCACGGCCACCATGCATTTACAAAAATCCATACCTTCTCTGGGATTTGAAGCTGGGCTGCAGTAGGCTTCTCTAACCACCATACTGTCTGGGCACTTTCCATATGTTGAATACTGGAAAAGAAAAAATAATGGTAACTGTGACATGTCTATTATTAAAGACCTCATCATGGGCTCAAAGTGTATAGACACAGGGAGCACACAAATTAACAATTTTATTTTCAGTGGCAGTAAGAACGTCCATTGTTATATTCAGCTAACAGGAGTTGTCTAAAGCAGAAATTTCCTGATAATTTTTCCTCAACCAGGCCTTTTAGGCTATTGCAGTGTGCTCTTCTATGAAAATCATTGAACCTAATAATGAATCTAAGTATCTTATACTCCCCGTTTATGAATATAAGACTGAGGCTGGACATTTTGCCTCTTGGTGTAATCTGTGTACATCCTGTGTGTTCCTCGCATCGGAGAAAACAGCAATATCTACAATAATCAAATTTTGAGCAACCTTAGTCCTCCACCCAGCTTATGCATCTCAAAGCCTGAAATTATAATTTTTTATTTCATATTTTAGGCAAAATTAATCATGTTTTGATTAATAAATTTGATTTTAAAGCAGTTCATTGCCCCTCAACTAAGCACATTTATATTTGAAATTTAATCAGAAATCTCTGAAAGAAATTTGTTGCCATGGCCCAAAATAAAGTACAGTGTTTTCAGGACAAAAAGAAAAGGGTGTTTGAGGACACTTTCAGGACAAAAGAGTGTTTCAAGACAAAAAGAAAGCATTCCTGTAAACACTGTAATTACTTAATTTTGATAAAAATTTACAGTGAAACATTAGTTATCAAAGTTTCTATAAATATTCTGTTAGTTGCTGTAAGTTCTGAGAAAATGGAGGCACAAACACTGTCTTTAACAAAACCCCATAGGACTGGAGATTGTGGTGGGCAATGGCATATCACAGCCAGTACAGCGATGGGGTAGACCATCATTCAGGTACTGGCATATATTTTATGCCAGTGTGACTGAGCTGCAGAGTGAAGCTGGGAACAGCTTCTTCCAACTCAGAACAACAAGTCTGATAACATATCTTGTAAATGCATGTGTTAATTGATTTTTCCATGAAGAAAAGAACAAAAACACAATTTTTGGAAGTAATGCAAAAAAATTCATCTTTGGAGAATATTTCTGTGCCCTAAAATCTTAAATTATTATAGTGATTAAGTTTACCAGAAGTGTGAAAAGTTGCTATATCTGTAAACACTAGTGTGTTTTTGAATCCATCTACTCTCAGCTTATCTTGCAAATTCTCACAGAAAGCTTTATATAGCAGTTAGAAGATATTTTAATGCCTGCACCATTTGAAAGGTGTGTGGCCGGATTTGTATCCGTAACACATGCCACACTGTCACAAAAGGTACATTGAGGTCAGAACTCATATGATGCATTGACTTTGTGTGAGACTTCATAAAAACATTTTGCCAATTTTTTCAATCACTTCAGGTTTAGCTTCTGTTTATTTTATCTTAGGCTGGTTCTCTTACACAAGCAGCCCGTGTCATGAAACTGCTTCACCCACCATTCGATGTTGTGCTGATGCAGAGATACCAAATTTCATACAAAAATGTCTTTGAACAACAATAAATAATGATGTTTTGGCATATTTCAAGACACAGTATGCTGTCCCTGGCAGTGATTTCATAACTGGAAAATTTTTCACTTTTGCCAGGTAGATCTTGTATAATTATAGTTTCAGAATTAATTTGTACAATGTAATAAATCAATTACAGAGTTTGTACTTTTCGTCCCATTCCATTTTGAAACACTCTGTACTTTTATCCTTGATGCAAAAATGTATTGACCTTTGCCAAAGCATAAAATATTAAATTTTTCTTTCAAATGTAATTTGCCTGTCATTGATTAAAAAATTAAGCAATTTAAAAGTAATGAATAAGATTCTTCTCTATTTTTAAAAAAGTAGATGGGCCCTAGGAATTGCACTAGCGAGATTTATCAAAATCATTATATATTTTTCCTTTTTACTTCCTTGTACGAAGTAAAAAGGAAGTACTGTCATCGCGAAAAGTTTCAGGCAGCATATTTCAACGAAAATATCCATTTTGACCATAATCGAATGCAATTTAATGATGAGATTTGCATGACATCTGTAAGTACAGACAGAATAAAAGACTCTTTTCCTCCACAAAAATTATATAACTTCTTTAAAATGAATTCTGAAGAGAATTTTTCGTGGTGCCTGTACGTACGTATGTATGTATCTCGCATAACTCAAAAGCGAGTAGCCTCGGAACGTTGAAATTTTCTATATAGGACTGCTACATGTAGATGTGCACCTCGTGTTTTGGTTGCAATCGGCTGCACCAAACGTATATAAATATATTTATATATATATCCACTCTGTTACTGGCTCGGTGATCTAGTTTCTTTACTTATATATTTGTAAATTGTGCATTTTTTGCTTTAAAAATGATTGAATTATGTTGTTATTATCTTCCAGTTAAGGTTTTTATGCCTTACAAGCAATATTTGTAGAATCATCAACAATTTAAAAGCTGTTTAAGTGCGGTTAAGCCTAATTTTTAAATAACATGACAGACATGTTTGTTTAAGTTTGAAACAGTAGAATAGTAGAGCTTCGCAACAGCAAAGATAATGCCTTCATTTATTATTGCGAATTAAATCATGCTTAATCCTTTCTGCAATTTTTTCGAGGAAATAAGTGTTTAAGGTTTACTTCGTAATTTTTAATACAGATATTTTGAGTTTTATGTATTTTGCCTTTGTTGCAAGTGAGAACTGAATTTATTGAATGAGAAATACTGAATCGTCTGTGACAAACTGTTTCTTTTTTGTTTTGTTTGCTTAATTCTTTTTATACGCCATCCTAGATTTATTATAGTATTTCAATAGAACATGTGGCAATGATTAGATAATTCTTCAAATGATATAAATTTCGCGCATTCTGAGTAATAATATGAGATGAATGAAATATAACGCTGTTAAGTGAACTTAGCGCCAGAGTGTCGCTATGGTAAATGAATAGAGTGAATTTTAAAGAGTGCATTTATTCTATTGTGGTTTATGCGCTATCAACGAAGTAGATTTAATTCAATTCAATAAGTTTAAATGACATGCAAGAAAAAATGTGTATAATTTAATATTCCATACAAGGAAGTCATGTGGTGTACACATCAGATTTTTTTTTATATAATAACCATTTTACTTGACTAGCTGTGTATGCAACTGGTCCATCAAAAATTTGAGTCATTAAAGCTAAATAAGCGTTTTGAAGTCAAATTATGTGATTCATTTTAAATCTGTGCTAAAAATTATCATTTGCTAAAGCTGTTTTGAAACTGTGAAAGGTTGGGAGTTATGCAGGGCAATGCACTAAAATTAGTGAAAAGAAGCCTGAAAATATGGGTGTTATGCATGTCATTTCTTGGCTATGTACAGTGGTGGCCAAAATTGTGGACACTTTTTGAAATTTTTATGTTTTTGAACTTTGTATGCTTATAGAAATGTTATGTTCGCAAAATGCAAACTTGTATATATCATTTAAAGAGAATTTTATTACTGAATTCAATACAAAACACAAAATTCAATTATTCAATACAAAAAAGTTATGTACTTTAATATAAATAAGAAACACAGTTATGAAGTGTTGTAATGTCTAGCTTTCCTGGCCAATCACCGTTCTTGTTCTGAGACCAATCAAATGTTAGTAACTGCCTAAACTGACATCATGTTTACACTTGAAAAATTATTTTTGCTTTGTTCTGTAGAAGAGGACCTGTTTCTATCACTGCAATTAAAGTAGGAATTTTGTAAAAATTTTAATATTTAGTCAGAAGCAATGACATCAAATAAAAGAGTAGATTGGACACTAGAAGAGATGTAATATTATTGTGTTACGAGAAGGGTCTATCCTATGCTGAAATTGCAAGACAGGTGGGTGGTTCAGTGACTACATCTGGAGTCAAATTTTTGTTTACGATCTCAGGAGACAATCCAATAAAAAAAAAAAAAAAAAAAGAAGGAAAAGGCCGAAAGGTACACACATCTATTGATGACAGAAGGATAAAAAGACTATGTCTCCAAGATAGAAAATGTCTCAGCGGCCATCAGAAGTGATCTGAATGATGCTGGTGTTTTCTGTCAGTTCAAGAACAACCAGGAAAATTAACAGATCTTGGACTGAGAGGTAGAATTCCACGAAAAAAACCTTATCTTAATTTTCAGCAACGAAAAAAAGACTACAGTGGGCAACATTAATTGAACAGATGATCAGTGGTCAAAGTTATATGGAATGATGAAACTAAGATCGTTATTCGGTAGTATGGGCCAAAATTGTAAGACGTAGAATAGAAGAGCACATCCTGACTGCATTCAAGCAACTGTGAAGAAATCCAGTTATGTTATGATTGTCATCATATCACAGATGTATTGGTCGCCTCATGCATCAATGCGACCGAATGCCAGAAATACTTAACACTAGCTAGAACCAAAACTTCTACCTCCATCAGAGATCTCTTTCCCAAAATGCTTCGTTTATTTTTCAGCAGGATTCTGCTCCTTCCACACGGCCAAAATATCGAAAGAGTGTTTCGTACAAAGAACAAAATTGTTCATGGCCAGGAAACAGTCCTGACCTCAATCCTATCGAAATTTTTGGCACCATTGAAAACTCTTGTCCGAATGAGGGCACCCATAAAATAAAAGTAATTGAGGCTATAATTGTTCCTGGCATCATTAATAACGAAAGAAGAGCTTAAACTCTTGTCAGCTCACTGAAACGTCGATGTGAAGTTGTAATCAAAATAAGGGTACCTACTAAGTACTGATAACTCACTGCAATCATCACTAATGTATCGATAACTATTATTGTTTAACTTTTTTGTATTGCAAATATTGAATTTTGTATTTGTATTAAATTCAGTAATAAATCTCTTAATGATATATACAATTTTGCATTGTGAAACGTAACTTTTCTATAAGCATACAAATTCAAAAACATAAAAATTTCCAAAAGTGTCTACAATTTTGGCCACCACTGTATATAGTTTCAGTTTATATCGCACATCTGATATCTAGATCAGTGAATGGCTTGGGTTACAAGCAATAATGCATTAAAAAAATATTATGACTTGTATATAAATAGATTTTGTATGATAATATCTATTACACTTAATTTTATGAAAGAAGTCGTACATCAGCTTAAATGCATGTAGTGGTCATTTGGCAACATACTCATATTTAGTCATGTAAATAAAATCAAAGCACAAATTTTAGCTTACTGCATAGCGTAAGCAATTGGATACATACTGTTTACGTATATAGTTTTGAAAGTTTCAGTGTGGTTTTGAAAGTGGCACCACATTAACAGTGTAACTGTCAATATTGCGAGTTGATGTTATAGGCTGTGGACATCGCTTGTGTTAATGAATTTTTGATTTTGTGTTTAGTTGTTATTTTGATGTATTCAAAGATTTAAAATTGTTAAAATTGTCATTGCATATGCTTTTTTTTTTTTTTTTTTTTTTGTGTGGTGTGTGTGTGTGTTTGTAAAAGTAATTATTTTTCCAAAAATTGGAATTAAAACTTTTATTTTACATTTATTTAACATTAAATTTAATTTTTTTCCCAAGTAATTTTCCTGTTTTTATTTGATATCAATTCTAATGTATTTTTGACTTTTAAAAAATAAAAATTCATGCATTTAGGGGTTAAAGTCAACATAAAATTTTAGAAAAGCAGCCTTAATTTGGGATAGATTTTTTCCATTTTGGTGCAGATTAAAAATATTCACCTAGTTTTAAAGCAGGTACATTAGAAAAGAAATATTTTTGTTAGGAACCCCATCAATGAAAGTAAATTGAAACTGAGGACTCAGATGCCGTACAGCAGAGTGATTCATACTGATCGTAGATAGATAGAAAAGAAATTACCGTGTTAATTTGAAGAATTTAAAAATGAAGCATGCTTTAGTGAAAAAGAGTCAAAAACTGAATGCCTGTTAGCATTTTCAGAATATAATATTAGAGCTACAGATCTGACTGACCAACAAAAAAAGTATTACAATGTTGCTAGAAAACCTGTATACGCTGCCGGCCATTAAAATTGAAACACCAGGAAGGAATAATCTGACGAACGTCAAAATCATATGGAAGGAAGAAGAGGTTGGGATATGCAAATAATTAATATTTCAATGCATTTAAGATGACGCAGGAGGGAGAAACAATGTCTGAAGTACTGCATAAAAGAAAAGTTGTGTAGTGGATTTCTCATTCAGAAAGCACTTTGTAAGGTCGGAGTTTGCTCAGCACTTTGTGTTATGCCTCAAATAATAAGAAGAAATGCTTACCAACAAGTGTTGGAATTCGATAGAGGCAGGATCATTGCCTATCATGAGTGTGGAGTTCCATGATATCGCCCGTCGCTCTGGTCAACATCCAACCACTGTCATGTGAATATGGAATCAGTGGGTTGCTGAGGGTGGTTCTGAACAGCGTGCAGGATCTCAACGTCCTCCCATGACTAATGCACCAGAGGAGAGGCATATTGTGAGGTCAGCCCTGTAAAACTTTACCACAACATCACAGACCATTTGTCAGGAAATGGGTATTTTGCAGTGCCCCCAGTAGCCACTCGTAGGGTGTGTCAACGTTTGCAGCAGCATAGATTAAGGATGGAAACAACATACTAAATTGAAACATGGTTGTAGTTCAGTATTATTTTAGTTTATATAATATTTCTTCTAATGATGTATAGCTTGGTGTACTGAAATATTATTAGTGATTAATAATTTCAAGTTTGTTTCATTTTAGGAAAGAGAGCCATTAGATATCCGTGTTAAAATTGGCAAAGAGGTACTGTACATTGACAACTGGTGCCACAAACGACAGTATGATGCATTCTGCCAGATACTTGGTTCTGGCATGAACCTTCATTTAAAAGTAGGAATTTTTTTATATTCTTTGATTAGTATTTATTTATAGTTTGCTAGAGGAATTTTATTACAATCATATTTTAATTTATGTAGCAAAATGAATTACTTCGCGATATCTTTGAGCTTGGTGCTCCTATAATAGAAGAAAACCCCTTCACAAAAAAGTCAAAATTACAAAGAGTAAGTATTTCAATTCTATCTTCTTTTCAGATAATAATTTATTTATTTTATAATGCAAAGTAAGTGTTAGTAATTTAGCACTAATAGTTTAGCATTTATTAGGTAAAATTTTAAAATTTGGCAAATTTCGATGAAACTGAAGACACCAAGGAATTGCAGTAGTGTTAATTTTGTGTAACATTAACTTTGCCATGACTTAAAACAACTATCACTGCCTGTTATTGAAATAATTGTCACATGCTTGGCTGATCAAGGTTTTTTAACTTTTTCCCTAAAATACTCAATAACTTACGGAACAGTGACCCCAAAAGCTGTGTATCAGGTGATCTTTGCTGCAGACTGATTGATGTCAGTGGATTATATCTTGCTATCTTTAAGGTACAGGTAACTTTTTTAACAGCAGTTCAGTGATGATTTTGTTCAGTTTTGTTGTTAAACTTCTACAGTATAAATAGATGTCTCAACATATCACTCCGCGAAGAATTGAGAATATCCTAATTAATTAATACATTTGAATAATCCTACCATGCTGTCTCTATTAACATAAATTTCACTTCCATTGTGGTTCTCAGTTTTAATTGCCATTCATTTATTTTAATATTCAAAAATATTATCTATCATTAATTCAAAAATATGATCTATCATCATCATTTATCACGAGTGGACAGCTTAAGCTATGCCACTTGGAGGAATTTAATATTCATTTCTAAATGAGCATATGTTGTTGCTAGGGTATCCTAATTGAATAATTTTCTGTGTTTTAAAACTGGCATAACTGGTTTGGAGATATAAAATTTTTAATCTTGTAAGGTTGTTCCACTTGATAATGCAACATTTTTAGATATTAAAAATTGCAAATTTGGAGTCGTGCTGCGATTTCTTCCCAAGTAGTGTTATATTTAGCATTATAATTTTCTTTCATAATGATAATGCCTAGAAATTACTACCTTCAATAAAGATGTTTATTACAAAAAAAATTATTAACCGCTTGCTTGATTATCCTGAGTTTTCTCGGGTTCGTATATACTACAGTTAATTATTATCCCGAGAAAACTCGGGTGACGCAGAATTTGTCAGTACTTTTTGTTTAATCTTGTTCTTACTTGGCCTGGAGGAAATTAAATATTCAGCTTTGATTGGCAGTTTGCCAACTTTTGTTGGTCTCGCGGGACTGGTCACTTGTTTTCCCTATTGTATAATACAGTCAAAAGTCGTTAATCCGGACTCGTCGGGACTTCGGCGATTCCGGATTATCGATTTTTCCGGATTATAGATCATCAGTTTAAATCTCATAAGATGGAATGCAGAAATTCTAAAATTAAAAATATGAAACCGTAATTTATGAAATAAAGAACAATTATGATCTAAAGGGTATCAAAATTTGCAAAAAGAAAAAGCTTAATATTTATTTGTTTACTTTATTAAACATTTCTTTCAATGTAAGTTGTTTAAGTTTTGCTTCGTTTCATGTGATACTTTCTCTTTAATTCTATTAAACAGACATAATTCTTGTTCAGTTACAAAGTTCCGCGTTCAAGTCCTATAATTGCTGTGTCGAGAACACAGACTAATTTGTGAATCGAAATTTTTTTTCGTTTTCAACTAACCTCTGTTACTTTCTTCGCTATCGGAAGCGAATTATAATGACGAGGAACTTGTTTTAAATCATATCAAAGACGGAGCGCATACGAGATGAAATACTAATTTGGTAAGGAATTATAAGCCAAATAAATAAAAACATCTGCCCTGAAGATAAGGATAGTGCTGACAGATCAACTTCCAATTCATGACGCGCTCGCTCGGCGTTTCCCCCCGCCGAGCAGCGTGAAATTGATAAACAGATTTCGGATTTCAAAACATACTTTCGCTTTAGATCCTTTACATATTAACAAATATATATCGGAAATTCTATTTTAATATATCGAAAGTTTAAGCTTACTTTTATAAAATTGCTCTTACAGTCTGCAAAAAATAATAAGCCGGATCCAATTCGAAAATTAAGGGAACAACGCAATCATCAACTTTAACTGAAATAGATAATTAGATAATTTTAGCTTATACGTCCATTATACATAAAACGCGCACACGAAAACGTATTCTGCACTTGCGCACACTCATATGCGCAGTCGTAAAAGGTCTTACGCGCACGCGTAAACGCCTATGCGCATGTGTCAACACGGCGCATGCGCAGAATGTTTTTAGTTTTGAGGTCCGGATTATAGATCATTCCGAGTTATGGGTGTCCGAATTAACGACTTTTGACTGTATACATCGGCTTGTGGATTAGTAATGTATAAAGAAGGATAGTTCTGCTGAAAAAACGTAAAATAATGGCGATGATGCAAGATAGTGAAAGCGATGATTTTTCAGATAGTGATTATGAAGAGGTGGATATTTTCCAGATGTTATTCTTGTTACAGAAAAAAAAATCAAATCCAACAAGACAATGTACTCTGTGCTCCCGTAAAAGAGATTCCAGGGGTAAGCCAGTAAGAAAAGAGACCAGACACCAGTGTACAGAATATCTGATATCACTTTGTGTTATCCCTTGTTTCAAAAACAATCATACAGAAACTAGTAAATTTTTTTTTCATTTGCCGGAGATAGCTCAGGGTAGTAAACTAATATTAAAACTAAATGCTTTCACACCTGTAAAAAATTAAAAATTCAACTTAAAACCTACATATTTAGTTTTATTTTATTTCCTTGTAGTTAATAATAAAATTTTAAAAAGTGATGATTTTTTTCAATTTTTTCCAAAAAAATTTCTAAAGGAAGCGGTTAAATTATTATGTCACAAAGAACAACTGTGATAATCATCTACATTTGACTAATAAAAGTGATGCTAAGCACAATATTAAATTTTACAGAAATATAAATCAATATAAGTTCAACTCCAAATGATAAGCCAAATGATAATATAATTAGACGTGTGATAGAAAATAGGAACAAAATAATAAAATTTTGTGTATATGGAATGTTTTTCATCAGTATAGTGAGGAGTCTCAGTTAGTGATAATTATCTCTGCATATGTCTCAAAGGTGAAAGAAACAATCTCATATTCTATTGGATACGTTCAGCGTAACAAAAAAAAAAGTTTCTTTCAGCAGTAATTTAATCTTAAGGAAACAAGAAGTAGTCATAAGGTGACAAATCATGAGAATGAGGCAGATGATTGAGCACACACACGTGTTTCGTAGACCAAAAATTTTTGGACAGTTACATCCCACTAATAGGTACATTTTCATGCAGAAAGAACTGACTGCTTGAACCTAACTGGCATCAAATAAAGTAAATTTTCTTCAGCGTGTAGCACTGCTAGCAGTAGTATATCCTTCGAGGACAAATACATTGCGAAACTCGTTATCATTATCTTTTGCATTATCATAATCTTTTATTTTAAATGTGAACCTTCTTATCTTTCAGTAATCCTAATGACTTTTATTTATCATTTTGACGTTTATTTGTACCCCTACTTTATTTTATTTCTAGAAATTATTTCTATAAGAAGTTTTAATAGTATTTTTTGGGAGGGAAGGGTTATCTGACAGTATCAGTGGCACAAACTTGAAAGCCCTTTTTTAGCAACAAATTTTGCCTTTAATATTTCGTGAACTCTCTTAAAATAATCAAATTTACAATTACTTATTCTCACAGCTGATAACAATCTTTTGTTGTCAGATTTTCCCCATGGCATAGAGTTTCTTTTGAGTAAGAAATGCTTGTCCAGACCTGTGTTCATTTTCCATTTCTCTTAATACAGTTTAATTGTGCACACCGCTTAAATATATGCATGAAATAAATGTTATACTGCATATACTTTTGTCATCAACTATGCAATCTTAAATGCTCTTTTAAAATAGAAACTTTCTCAGCTTCCAGAGGACACTGAGATGATGTTACGAATTTTTTAGAATATGTTTTCCATTCTTTGAAAACAAGGGTTGTGATTTCTTAAGTTGTTCCCAGATGCTGAAAACTCTAGCTACAGCTCTGTTATCAGAGGTATAACATTTTTTTGTACGACAGTTACTTACTAACATTTGTCATTCACATGCCTTGCTGAATATAGAATTATCATTTGATTCCCAGACTCTGTATGCAAAGTATTGCATTGTAAACTGTACAGAACTTCTTAAAATTAGCAAATGCTTTAAATTATATATTCATAGGTTGTCCAGAATGCTATAAAAGTTGATCAGGCTGTTCATGGATGTTTTTATTAGATAAAAATTATCTTCATTTAAAGTAGTTCTGCTTTTGGCATTTAAATCAATATGTTATAGAATCAGTGTAATAAAATACTGCCTCTGGCCACAAAGTTTCATTTAGCCAAATGATGAATGTGTCTATAAATATTTTCAGAAATGCTTGACATAATTTATAGCTAACTATCAAATTTCATAATGATGATGATAGTTTCAAATCCAGAGGTTCTGGGATATTGTTAGAAAAACAAAGTTATCTGTTTAGGGGAATATATAAAATGACAGTAGTATAACAATTACAGTGCTTCCATCATCAATCAGTTAATCGAATGGTGATTATCTGTGGTATGGTTTTAAATCCAGAAAATATTCCTCTTCCGGCTTTAATTTTACTTTGTGGTGTTTCAGAAAATCTTTCTTTGTGGAAAATACTCCTTTCTTAAGGAAATATGAATAATGAATATAGTATTTTGTATAATTTCTACATGTAATCTTGCTAGATTTAAACTGGTGATCTAAAGTCCGGAAATTTCCGAGATCTCCAATTCTGTATAATTTCTACATGTAATCTTGCTAGATTTAAACTGGTGATCTAAAGTCCAGAAATTTCCGAGATCTCCAATTCCTGATATCCCGACAATTTCAGAATCTCAAACTTTGTACTCTGTTTTGGTATTGATAATATTGTATTATTTAGAAGTAAAAGTAATATCTTATTTCATCTAACAGAAAATTATTTATGCAAGTTTGTTTAAAAAAATCAAGCTCTGTTCATATTATTTATATGTATTTTTGTTATAATTTCAGCATAGTGCTCATCTTGCTGCTTGTAAGGCAAGGACTAAGTGTCTAAGCAAGCTACGAGATAAAAGAGCAGATGTTATGTGTTGAAAATACTTTCCTTCAATTGTTGAGGGTTTTACAAGCATTTAAGAAAACCTGTAAATTATCTATACAATATATAAATTATTTATGTCACCCATTTTGATTGCTTCCAGTGATATCATTGACTATAATACTTTAAAACTATTTGGTTTTTAAATACATTTAAATATGTATCTGGTGCCTCCTTAAATTAATTTTTTGGAGAATGCACTAAACTTAAAATTTAATTTATTTGTTTTTATTTATTTATGAGTACATAACAAAAAATACTATTATGTCAAGCATCATTTATATTGTGCTTCCTTAACCTTAATATGTGGAATTATTACTTATCCTGCATATTCTTAATTTTATACATAACTTTTTATTTATGCATAAAACATTTTTAAATAAAAACATTTTAATACCGAAATTTACAATACTTTTGTAGTGCCATTTTATAAGATTCGATTAATGTAGATGTCGCAGTAGGAATCTGTTCAGAACATTTGACACTGCTCCTGAAAGTGAATTGTTATGTTTTTAGAGTGTTATTTGCCAAAGCTTATTATGAATATTTTCAGTAACATTTGATGGAGTTTGAAAAAATATATATATGTATTTAAAAATAAATTTTGTAAGTTATATTAGTTTGGTATTACATTATTGCATAGTTAATTTTGAGAATAAAAAAGTTATTATTTTATTAATGATTACTTGCGATAGGATTGTTGGATTCTGAACTTTTCTTTATTTAAATTTATGAAAGCTCTACACAGTTTTTCATTAAGTAATTTGTATGACTAATTGTGTTAATTCTTTTTTATCATAATTGTTTTATCATTCAGATATATAACATTTGTGATTTGTTTTGGTGGGAGAGTAAAGCAGTTAATAATTTGTTTCTTTTTTAATGCCCGTTACTTTATAATTAGTTGTATGGAAGGATATAAATCAATAATATTCTCATTGAATTGCATTTCATTCATTAATGTAAAATATCATTAAAGTGGGGTTTTTTTTTTTTTAATATTTGCTGCATTCAATCATATTGCTGAATAAATTATTAGAGTAAAAATTTTCTGATAAAAGAAATATATTTTATTATGAATTAATATTAAAAATCTAAATTATAATAACCGTTTGTGAAAGTTTTTTCTTAAAATTTACACATGAAAGTCAAATGAACAGATTGTGTGTATCAGCGTGTTATTTTTGTTGGTGATATTTTAAGTATGTGCAGTTTCATGTTATATAACTTTTTGAAATAATCTTATTTTGTTTAAGTTGCCCTATTAAATTGTGTTATCAATTTATATATATATATATATGTGTGTGTGTGTATATATGCATGTAAAGTGTTAACACTCCTCAGAAATAGTTGATACTTAAATAGGTATTTAACTTCAGTTGTGTATATTTAATTTAAATGCCAGTCTTTGAGATCTGTTTTGAATCAGAGGAAAAATAATTTTAGCCTTTAGTTTAATTTTGTTCCTATTTTGAGACGACCTGGTTGTCAAAGACTGTGATTTATGTGGAAGAAATGTATACAAAGAAATATTTAATTATTGTGTATATTAGGATAAGTTTTATCTAAAGCTGTTTTCTCCCATTATGTACTTGTATGGCTATAATTGTTGTATAATTAATAAATATAATTTACGAATGAATCAGCTTTTGCTTTTCCCGTCCCCAGTTTCTTGTTTTTGCAAAAAAATATAACTTCATCGGTAACTGAAGTATGAAAGGCTTTACTTATGTAATAATTGCCAAATATTTATTCGTGTTCATCACACTTAGTTTAGATATATCATTTTACCACATTATTACACGTTCTACATGGAAAAGTTATTAAAATTGGCTCTAACAATATTCCTTCTGTGAAGCTATCAGACTGAATTTACCAGTGCTATTTCATGATTTAAAATTTTAATTTTCCTTTAAAAAATAAATGTAAGATTTCAAAATTTAACAAAATTGGTAAGTACAGTTAAACTTTTTATTATAGTGAAAATCTAAAAGTATATCATGTCATAATCTTTATATGCAGGAGATTATAGCATCTCGTATATTCCCAGCAAGTCTATGTAAGATTTCGTATTTTCCAAGAAATTATTAATTCCATGGAAGATGAAAAAGTATTCTTGTTGATATAAGCTGCATTGATAATGCAAGCAGTAGATAAAAGTATATTTATAAGCTGTTTATGTACTAGATGCTTTATATTGCAATAAACTAGAGAAAAGAAATACTATAGACTCCTAATTAAGTGGAATAATTCCAAGGACAACATCCACAGCTAACTCAGTCCTGGTTAATCTCCAACAGCATTAAAATTAAAGGGCAGAAAAGAATAACACTTATTATAATTAACACAATTTAATAAAGAAAAGAAATATTGCATCAATAAAAATTCGGAAAGTGATAATTTTTCTGTCAGCATTTCACCAAACTAACTTAATTTGGACAACTAAAGAAAATCATGGTCATTAAAAAAAAATTATAGTCAATATTTGTGGTAAGTAGTGCATTGATGTGGATGGATGAACGTCTTGCAGCAATGTATACCATTGTCAGGCCAAAGCTGTCAGAAATAACAAATTCCAATTTTTTATAATTTAAAGCAAGTAATGATTCTCAATCACTGTTCATGATAGAGTTATGAAAGATAAATTGCAAAATTGTTATATGATAGTATAAAAAAACATGCAATAATGAAATGAAAATAGTGGCCTTTATCTTTGCAACAGCAAAAAAAGGGGCATTTGCTGATATCCATTGATAGCAGATTTTCTCAAGTGAAAGGAAAGTTCAGAACCGTAGCAGGTATATTTGCTTGTATTCATATGCAGGAAAATTTTTTTTAACTAAGACGCATAGAAAAAATTTAGTCCATTGTTTCCAAGTTAACTCGATTTAATGCATCAAGGGGTTAACTATTTAACTATGCTCTCAAGCGGTTTACTATGGAGAATAAATCCATTGGTTATGCAAATCAAAACAGAATAATGCTTTAATTTATATTACTTTTGCATTTTCACTGGAATCAATGAGAAACCGAAGATTGATGGGTGTGCACTTAATTTATTTTTAATCGCTGATTTAACAATGTTTAACCCGTTCAGGTTCGCGTTGGTCCTCAAGGGGTTAAGATTATGTACGATTAAGTTGCATGATATTGTGGATAAAACATGTTATCGCAATCACCTTAGTAGAAGTTGCTAAATTTTCAGGATGGGCCAAGCTGTGGCAGCCATGTGTATCATTCTTCAGGTAACTGCACTGATAATAATTCTTCAATCAAGCATGTTGCCATTTTCATGCATTCTTTTTGTTGTATTCCAAGTTCCAATGGTTTTTAAGAGACAAATTGTGATATTTGTGCCTTTAATTTCAAAATATGCAATTGTATAATTTGCCAACAATGGAAGAAACTGCAGTAGAATTCCTGCAGAAATGCAAAAATTTTTTCCTTGAAATCTGTAAAGGGAACAACAAAGAGCTAGACAGCTGAGGTTTGAGCAATGTCAAATTTCTGCGATTCTCTGTTCTTTTGAGCAAAAACAGATTGCTGGGTACTCAAAAAAAAAAAAAAAAATTACCAAAAAATTTGAAGATCATTGTAAATGCTTTATTTGCTTTAAATTGCTAAAGTATATTGTTGATAATGTTTGCTCAACTTATTACAATAATTATCATTACTTCAAGAATCTTTTTGAAAAAGTCTCGAGCAACCAACTTGAATAACTAACTTTTACCTTTTCTTCTGTAAAAAATTGCTAGATTGTGCTAAGGTGGTTGCATTATTACCAAGTACCAAAAACATTTCCTAAACATTATGACTTTTGCTTTCAGTACAGTGTTATCCCATGCATTTTCTTTTCTGTGAAAATTTTGCTTTATTCTGGTGTCTGCGATGGTAATTTTTTTCATTCTTCTGTAATAAGCATACATAAAACTTTTTTAGATAACCTGAATAATTAGAAGTTGACTCATTGCAGAAAATAGTAAGAATAATAATAATGAAAAAAACTAGTTGGTAGGCAGTGTGATAACATTAGAAATATCTTTTACTGATAACAAAATTGATGCAAATGTTTATAAAGATTTAGTCACATATATTACATGTTGTTATATTAAGAGTGATTAAAAGCAGAAATATAAATTATTCAGAAGTACCTATATTGCTTTAAAACCTGCAGCATACTTAATGTTTTGGTTATGAAAGATGCATTAAAAATCTTGCAGAATGTGTAGCAACACCAGTGAGATTTTGCAGTTTGCCTGATTATATGGATATTAAGTGAAAGTGATTTATGCTTCGTGGAATAGCAATACTAGTTAGTTTTAAATCTTTTTGGTACTTCAATGTAGTAATATTGATTAATAGTCTAACCACTGGGAACCCATTCGATCATGATGAATGTGGTGGGCGTCCAGCACATTCATCATGTTCCACGTTGTGCCAATACCCTGAAAACCGCTTATGCCATTCAAACACACGTGCATGAGACAAAGTTTTTCATCTCCATAAGCCTCGGTTAACATTTGAAAGCTCAGGTGCTGGGCACTTCATCAGGCTCCTAGGCTGGGAAAGCCGTATCCTGTATGTAGCACGTGTGAGATGGCATATTTTATTCCTGGCATATCATGGCATAGTACTTAAAAGAGAAAAAATTCCTCGTGATAAGCAGTGGATGAGCCTTTCGCACGAACAGCACGGAGAGTTAGTCGTTTCCTAATTTGGAGCTGTGAAAAAGGCCTAAGTTTGAGTGTCGTATGCTACGGCTACGTTGCTCGGCACTTGTGAATATGGAATAGTATGCAGAGAAGGTTGATGAGGTGCAGGGAGGAGCTACTGGTCACGTGTGCCAATGGTTGATCTGAAAAGAAAGTGCATATTCTTGCTTGTCAGGCATTGGTTGGGGAGTAGGGCTTAGCTAAAAGTTTTTTCTTACTGAGGACTCGAATTAAAAACTAGTAAGTATTTGTAAAAATACATATAGTAACTACAAAAGAATACGTCTGAAAGTGAAGGGATCATGTGCTAAAATAATAAGTGGCCTAAATAACTATTATATGAGGCAGTAACGATAATTTGAAAGATAGAGTAATGAGAATAAAATTGGTAGTACATGGGATTGGATGTAGATGGCGACACTTATGCATGTCTTAGAAGAATCTAAAAATACTCGTATTATTGCAAATGCAATTGTATTATGTGATTTTTGGTAAGAAACAAAAGAAAATGTATCTAAACTGTGGGTACAGCTACATCAAATGCCGGAGTACTGCTCCGGGTCTCTTTTTGTTTTCATTATCCGTGTAGTCGTAGGTCAGCCTGGGAGTGGAACTATTGTTGACTTTTTCTATATTATTGAAGAATTTCTTTGCTATTTTTGCAATACAAATACTGATGCTGTCAATATTTAATTCGTTGTGGATGGCTTCGTTTCTAAAGTACCAGGGACTATTAGAGATTCTTCTCAGTGTAATATTCTGGCATTGCTGAATTTTTAGCATATGAGTTTTACAAACATACCCCCAGACGGGACAAGCGTAAGTAACGATTGGTCGCAGCATGGATCTGAATACATGAAGTTTGTTATGAATAGATAAAACAGAGTTTCGGGCAATTAAGGGGTTCAGTAATGCTTTAGTACCCCGAAACTTATTCAGGATATGTGTGATGTGTGGGGCCCATGCGAGTTTTTGGTCTAAAATGACACCGAGGTATTTGACTTGCTTAGCCCAGGGAATGCTGACTTCATACATCTGGAGGGTGATACTCAGATCGACGATTCTTTTTTTTGTGAAGTATACAGCTTCGGATTTTTCGACGTTCGTTTTAATCTTCCATTTGAGCATCCAAGACTCTAATGCATGGATGTGTTCTTGTAATGCTTGTACGACTGCGGCCATGGACGCATCTTGGTATAGGATCGCAGTATTGTCTGCATAAAGTGCGAGTGTAGTGCGGGGGGTGGTGTGGGATGTCGTTCGTATAAGTTGAAAATAATGTAGGCAAAAGTAAACTTCCTTTAGGTAAACCTGCAAAAGTTACTTTCCGTGTGGAGTGAGTATTGTTATATCGAACGACAAAGTGTCTATCGTAGAGATAAGAATTAATGATGTTTATGATGTAATCTGGGAAACCCAGAGTGATTAATTTGTATGTGAGGCCCTGTAACCATACACAGTCAAAGGCTTTCGAAATATCGAGGAAGAGAGCTCCTGTGATTAGTCTTTTTTGGAATCCTTCTGCTATCATCTCGGTAACACGGTAGAGTTGGTGCGTAGTGGAGTGTTTACTTCTGAACCCATGTTGCTGTGGGATGAGGACATTGTTATCTTTTAGGAAGTCTTGCACTCTCTTCAAGATGACTGCTTCTGCAATTTTACTTAGAGTCGACAGCAAGCTTATCGGTCTGTATGAAGTAGCCAGGGTGGGATCCTTTTCTGGTTTTAGTATCGGAGCGATGATGGCAGTTTTCCAATCGGTAGGAAAATACTGTAGGCGGAGCATAGCGTTCAGGAGTTTTGTGAACTTGCATATCATTTTCGCTCCCATCTCCTTAATCATTTCATTCCTGATCTTATCCAGTCCGGGGCTTTTCCGGTTTTTTCTCTTCTCGCTATAACTAATAACCTCTGATGGCATAATTAAGGG